CATGGACCTCCAGGAAAATAAAGACAACTCCTGTGAACTAAATTAAGTGTCTGTTGTGTTGTGGAACCATCACAAGTAAGAGTGACTACTGCAGAAGCATAAGGGATAGAAACATAAAGGAAAGGAAACATTCAGTTCTGACCCGATACCTCTTCCCAGTTGCTGCACAAAACCCCCCCGAAACCAAAATCGGAAAAGCAAACAAAAACCCCACCATGGACTATACTTAAAACACGAATCAGAATACCACATAAGGATTTTACTTACAAAAATCCCAAAACTATAGTGTATAAGCACTTGGCCTTTGTGCCACTTGCAGGAAATAAGTTTCCCTATACAGTACTAAGGTTTGCAAGTTTACAGCTGTTTTTAAAACCTGCATTTGCTATGGTTCTTATACCCTAGGTATGAGACAATTAATGGTGCTCCAGGTGAACTGAACCCAAGAAACTCCAATTTAGGGCTGCCAGTATAGTCTAAACAGCATCCTTAGAATTTCTAAGTACCTCTAGATCCCCAGTTCAAATCCAGCTTTTGATGCAACCCTTAAATGTGGTATTATTTTTTAAAGAATACCTAAAAAGGTGAATTATTTCCAAAATTAGTATAAAGTTAAAATAAATTCAAACTAGGTACAATCTATTTAATCCAAGCACAGCACCGCCAGAAGTTTCACACACACTATTTGGTGTTTCATGTTGATTTTCCTTTCACTCTTTAAGGCAGTGGTTTCCACAGGTCAGTTTAGAGAATATTAAGAAGCATGGTCCATGGCAATTCATGTTGCAATTCCATTCTTTCCGACAGGGGATTTCATACCCCAAACTGTTAGTGCTTTTTGTTCCATTATCCAGAGTTAAAAGATTTGAGCCCATAGGCTCTGATCTGGCACAGTTAATCTACAGCTGGCACACTTTCATCAGGACCTCACTTCCAAATGATGAGAAAGTTCTAATTGTTCTTTCACATTCTGAATTAGCCTTTTACTCAAAAGTCATCAAGTTGGCAGGAACCTGAAAATAAGAACAAAAGGAACAGCTGATTTTAGTTTGGGAATTAACGTTCCACATTCCATCTTTTCACAAATCATTTGCCTGCTTAAATGCATAGTTTAGCTCCCCCTTTTCAAAGGGAAAACATGCTGCTCTAAAGAACAATTCATAACCAAATCAAACAGTACAAGATTAACTAAAACTAGGAAAAAACAAACCTGTATAGAGAATGGCAGACACCGAAGTAAAGCATTGTTTATAAACTTAGTATACTATGATTTGGCCCTAATCCCTGTTCTGCCAGTATAAATTGTGACATAATACATTTTGGCTACAACTGTGAGTTTAACTTTTTTTAAAAAAACCTGACAAAATCCAGAGTCAAAAAACAAATGAAGATGGAGAAAGGACTCTCACAGATAGGCGTCCCAACTCACTGAATTCACAGTAAACAGAGGTCAGGATGGGGCCAAGTCTTGTCATAATCAAGAAGTATCACACTCTTAACTTTGCAGAAGCATTCCCAAAAACTGACAAGGAAGAAGAACTGAGTAGCATTTAACACTGTCCTCTAAAGCAGTGTTTCTCAACCATAGGTCACAACCCAATAGTGGTTCATAAAACTATGAAAGGGTCGCAGACAAACTTAAAAAACAGATTCTCCTTTAAAGGAGAAAAATGTGGAAAACCGTGGTTTTCCCTTGCAAGCTGGCAGAGGTCTAGCCTGTAAGGGGCTGCTTGGGGCTCCTCACACCCACCTCCCCATTCTCACCCCAGCCACCAGGGGCCAGTGAGTCGGGACTGGCCATTGATGTTTACAAATGGGTCCTGGTACAAAAAAGGTTGAGAATCACTGCTCTAAACATTAGAAAAATGGAAGTGCAAGAGGGTGTTGCTCTTACAAAGACAAAGGAAAGGTCACTATGCCTCCAACAGCAAAGCTAAAAGTCAGCAGCTTGTTCCATCTGAGGAAGTTGTATTTTCTCAGCAATGCTTGAGATAAAAAATCTGTTTCATTCCCCCAAAGATCCAGCTATTTATTAACTTTATCCATTGCTATGTGTGTAGAATATTTAAGTCTATGACAACTTTCATCAGTTGGACATACAGCTTGAGAGCCCAGCATGAGGCAAGTAAAAATATTCTGACGAACAAACGGCATTAAAACTTCAGTATTGGGAGAATCAAAGACCCTTTTATTAGTCCATGGCTACCCTTAAGTGGAGAAACAGAGGGTTTTGTGCCCTAAGCAAACCCTGCCTAACTCAGACACTGAAGGTATGCAGGGGGAGAGGGGCATGAAGGAAGGAAGGGTGCTAATTGCTGGAGTGTGGGGACACGGGAGTGGTCTGTCTCACCTGCTCTAAGGACACAAAGCCCCAAAGCTGCTGCTGCGGTGTCCCACATCCAGCTCCTACAGTTGCTGGTGCTGAGTTGCAACTGCTGGGCTCCTACTGCCGAAGTGTGAAGTTGCTACTATCACATCAAAGAGTCTCTGGAGGGCCTCCATTTCAGCACCCCCTTTTAGGTTGGTGCTGGGGACTGGTGCCCCACTTGCTCACCCCTTGGCAAATTACTACCTTAAATAAAGAGATGACCCCAATCTCAGGTATGTGGCCTACAAAATGCTAAAGATCTCTGGAATTGTTCTTGGGGGTAACAATAAGGTCTATCCACAAGGCTTTTACAAGATTTCTTGGTAACTCATGGAAAAAGTGTCAACTGATGAAGAGCTCAGATTCATCTGGAAAAGGTATGATTGGAGGTGTTGTTTCCAGTTCTTTAGTCATAAAGAGCTTACCCTCCTATGGTATTATCCCCTCAGAGGCAAAAAGTGGTCAAGATTTGGTCAGTCTTTTACATCTTCCTCTCCATCCCTCTTCCTAATTTTGGGCTGCTTGCAGATTTTTTTTTTTTTTTTTTTTTAAACATGTGGCACTTTAAACTTGGTGCACTTCCAGAAGAGAGAGCACGTTAACTAGACCCGGCTCACCTGACTTCTGTATAGATCAGGCACTTTAGTGGGGCTTTTTTGGCACTTTTATCTAATAGTTGATTGGAGTCAGCTATTAGATAAAAGTGCCAAAAAGCCCTCCTGAAACACCTGATCTATAGAGATGCTACAGAGCCGGGTCCAAGTAATGCACTGCTTCTTTCATTAAAGTGTGGTTTTTGGTTTTTCTAACATCTGCAAGAAGCTTTGTTGAATAAGAAAACTAACTGAACTCTACAATGACCAGTGTAGGGAAGAAAGCTGGTGAAAGTTGGCAGACCACAGTTTAGAAGGGCTCCATTAGTCAGGAGGACCATGAGATAAAGTACAGGCAAAGAATATGCTGGTCCTTGCTGCTATCAGATCCAGCAGAACCAGAAGGATAAATAATCTTGACTAATTCAGGGCATCAGAAAACCCTCATGTTCCTAAAATGCCATCTCCAATGGCAGTAAGAGACACAGTATACTGCTGGATGCCAAGACCTAGTCTCTCTCAAGGGAAGCCAAAGAACTGAAGCCTAAAAAGCAGTAACAGGAAAGATCTCTACTACTATTTCACACATTTCGTAAACATTAGGGCTGAAAGGGACCTTGTGAGATCATCAGGTCTAGCCCCCTGCCCAAAAGGCAGGAAGTCAACGGGGGTCAGATGGTTGATCAAAAAACAAAACAAGAGACCACCCCCCTCCAGAAAAAAACAACCCCTCCCCACCAGCATTCATGCAGGCTTTGAGACAGACATGACTTGACTCGCACTGATTACAAACAATGTCAGTAAGTTAATGTCAGCCTCAGTCTTTTGCCAAGTCTTGGCATGTTCAAGACTAATTGGTTCAGAAAGACAAGTTTTCATAAGCAACAGCCTATTAGTCTGAAGTCAAGCAAGAGGTAGGATAGTGTGGCATGGTAGTCTAACTGGTTTAGAGAGGACTGACCTTTCATAGGCAATAGCCTACTTTGTCAGATGCAAAGAACAGACCATTCCTAGCACCTGACCAAGTAGGCTGTTGCCAATGAAAGCTCAGACCTCTCTGAACTAGTTAATCTGTAGTATACCACACTCTCCTACCTCCTGCTTGACTTCAGACAAACACAACTAACCACCTCAATATCTGTACAGTTGATTCCAGAAAACAACAAGTGTTTTCTAGGTGTTGGCTGTAGCAGTGTTGGACTAAAGACCTAGGCAGACAAGGTACTTTGGGTAAATCTGATATCTTTTATTAGACCAACTGCTGGCCCCAAATCCCCACTCCAGGTGCCACCTGCCCTGTGAATCTGGCCAGAGGGGAACCCTGTGGTTTGGATCCAGCCTGAGGTGAGTCTTTCACCCCTGGCTTCATGTCGAATTTTTAAATCACCAAGGGCTTGCCTAGGTAGAAAAGGGGACATTCAGGAGAATCAACGCAAATGTAAGATTAACTGTCGGGAATGTTGTGCTTTTCATAAGAAAATGCTCAATTACTACTGAGTCTTCTTTACAAACTTTAAGGTATGTAGAGCAAACTATTTGCCACTGCTGATCTTCCTTCAGCAGCTCACATGTCCTTTTCACTGTACTGCTCTCACCTGTTGTCTGTTGCTTTGGCAGGCAGCACTCAGGTGTTTGAACCAGAGCATTGCATTCATTCTATTCCCAGCTTGAAACTTGTATGAGTTTCCTAAAATGAAAAAGGTAAGGGGAAAAAAACCAGACTGAACCAAAGCAGAGAACATACAATATAGTATCTTCAACTTTATCTAAATTCAAACAAAGCCAAAACGGAGACATTATCAAAGCATGCAAACAGAATTCCTATATTCATGTAAATTTACATCTCTGCAGCATAGATCCAACTCAAATAGAATAATTTACCTTAACTGCCCATTTGTTTCCCCAGTCCCCAATCATTCCCCCCAGTTCCTGGTTTGATCCCTCTCCCCAGCTCCCCAATTATCTCCCTTCAGCCCTCGCAGCTGCCAGTACCGCCTGCCTTGCCCGGTGGGGGTGCAGCTGGGTGAGCTGAGGCTTGTTCCGAGGCTGCTGGCTCAAGCTGGGTCTCATCTGGCTGCTCCCCCAGCTGCTCCTGCCAGCACTGCCTGCCTGCATAGACCATAGCCAAATAAGATTCGGCCCCAAATCTCTTTGGATTTGGCCAAATTGAATCGGGATAGTGATTCAAGTCACCGAATTAAACCATTGTCTCTCCAAGTCTGAAGCAAATACTTTCTGCTTTATACAGGCTTAGTAGACAGAACTGGAGTTTATACTCTAAGAATGTGTGCACGTCTTCAAAAAAAGTGTTGATATACTTTAGACCAATTTTTAAATATATAGTGGTTGCCTGATTCTAGATGGGCTGAGGAAAAATATTACAAAAAAGTGTTTCAGATTGCTGCTGCTGATATCCAGTTGACAAGCGCATACAATTTATATGTTTCGGTGCTATCCTTAGGTTCACCTATGACAGGGACAATTTATGATACCCATCATATATGAACTGATATGTACATTTCGTGCTTACATCATATTGTATATGCTGGAGAAAGATGAATTTTTAATTATGTAAATTGATCCATTAAAATATCTTTTTAAATAACTGCATTCAAAACATTCACTGAAAACTAACTGCAGTTGCAAAGGTACTGGTAAAATTACTAAGACATTATCCTTTGGTACTAAGTATAGAAATAATTGAGAAGAAATCCCAACAAGTCACAGAGGAAAATGCATGTTAAAATGTGTTGTCAGTACTGCTTTTGATGCCCTTTCTGCATATTTTGAACTTTCCTAGAAAAGTAAAAATTTCTCCATAATTCATACTGAACTGGGTTTCACTTTTAATTTTCTAGTCTTCCCAAAACAACTTAGGAAATTGTATTGTTTTTTGCATTTCTGAAGCCTTTTTTTTTTTTTTTTCCAATTAGATCAAGGGTTTTCAACCTTTTTTAACAAGTGTACCCCTTCTCTCTCAAAATTCTAGCTCAGGTGCCCCTTTATACTTTTTCTTGTTTGGGGCAGGGGGTGGGGTGGGCAAATCAAGGTCCCCACAGTGACGGAGAGAATGGGGCTGGGGCAGATCACGGGATGGAGCCATAAGTAGCTCGTCGGGGGGGCATGGGGAGGGGGTGGTGGCTCCCGCCGGTGCTTGCACCCTGGGAGGGCATGGGGGTGTGCGCCCCCAGATCTGCCTGCTGGGTGACAGTGGGCTGGCCCAGCAGTGGGGGAGGGAGTGGGGCCGCGGCAGGGGATGCCCAGTCAGGGTGGGGTGCAGGACTGAGCTGCATGGGGCAGCCCCCGCAGCTATGCTCACCCCTGGGAGGGTATAGGGGCATGTGCCCTTGGATCTGCATGGAGGAGGGTGGTCTGCCGCCGCAGGCTGGGGCCAGCACCAGGCTGTTCCCAGCAGGGGCTGGGCTGGGCTGTGCTCAGGGAAAGCGGCAGTAGTTCTGGGAAGGGGCTTAACGGGGGGAAGGCTACAGCAAATTCTGGAGTGGCTTCAACCCCCCGCAGCCCCCTCCCAGTGCCACTGCCACCTGCCCTGAGCTAGGAAGAGCCCGGCACAGCCCCAGCCACATCCTGCCCTGCCCCACCCAAATCCAGGGACACATGCTCCCGTGCCCTCCCAGTGTGCACTCAGCAGTGGGAGTTGCCACCCTCCTCCTCCCCTGGATGAGCTGTGGCTCGGTCCCACGCTCCATCACGACTCCCGCCACTGCCCGCACTCCAGGAGGGCATGGGGGGGTGTGCCCATGGATATGTGCACAGAGCAAAGCAGGGAACATCTGTGTAGTTCAATATTTATTTTTTCATAGACATGCAAAATGACTCCTAATGGCTTAAGAATGATTAAAAGCCTGCATCAAGCCAATGAATTTTCTATATTATTTCTGAAAACATCTAATCTAGAATGGTAAGAGTTTGGAGCTACAGTTTTGTAAATATCTTTAAAAATTTGAGAGGAGGTGGTAAAAAGGATCACCTGTCAAAGAGTTTAAGGCAGAAAAAAGGAGATGAGAATTTACAAATTAAAGAATGGCTTAAAGTTTAAATATTGCAGTGGCTCCCAACCTTTTTTTGCTGAAATCCTAAATCCAGGCGGTGACTCCCACCTCCACCTCACTAATGCCCGATGGCACCAGCAAAGCCTGGGCTGGGCCAGGACTGTGGGGGGCAGTGATGGCAAGAGCCACGTGGACCATGCGCCAGGACAGCTTTGCAGGCAGGAGGGGCGGAGTAAGGAGCAGACCCCCCCGATTTGAGTCACGCCCCAAGGTTGAGAGCCACTGTAATATTCCTTCCATGTTTTCTGTTATAATTATAAGCATATCTGAGAAATTCTTAAATATTTACAACAAATCACGTACATCTCAAAACCATTTTATACAGATCACTGCAGTCCTGATGTTACCCACCCTTTTCAGAATCAGTCAGCAAGAAGAGATCAGGATGTTCTGGATCATCAGCCATCATTACCATCCATCCCACAACTGACACATTCTTACTCGGGGTAGATTTGAACTGGAAAAAAAGATAAAAATTAGTCAGATTCACAGCATTACATAGTACATTTTTACATAAATAATAGGCCACTTCCTTCACCTATAACATTGTAAATGTATAAAAATTCTATTGAATTCACTGGTGTATGGCTTTCCATAAAAGTTAAGAATTACTCTAGATAGACTTGGGATTTATTTTAGCAGAATTTGATGCCAGCGTGTATTTTAGGGGAAATTAATAGGACACCACAATCCACTAGGTCAGGGGCTGGCAACCTTTTCTGGATGCAGGCCAGAATGACCCACCCCAGCTCAGTGAGGAGAGCAACTTAAGGATATAGTGTCCATTGCCAAAGCCCCATATCTGTGGGTGGCAATGGACTAGGATGCAATCTGCACTAGGATGTATAGTCATCAGCATACATTCTGCACAACGGTATTCTCAGCACTGTGTACTTCTGTGTATTACACTAAAAAAAATACACCAAAAAAAACCACGAAAACAAAATCTGTTAGAAAACATTTGAGTCATTCACTTGCATGTTAAGAAATGCCAAAATGTGTAATTTAATTCAGTCCCATTGTATATATTTGTAGAATAGTCTTTATCTTATTCAGCCAATCAGAATAAGATATACTGCCCATTGGGCTCAGTCTGCCCTGGCAGCAAGTCTTTCAACTCATGGTGAACCACTGCATCAAATACATTTCAACCTCTTCACTCCCACAACTGAGCAGCAACTTTCTCTCTCTTTTTCCAATGATGTGTGTCCTCACCAGCCTTAAATGTCTGGCAAACATCACCAAATGTCTAGGTAGATGAGAGGCTCTGCCACCTCGCCTTGGCTTGTCCCATGCGGCTGGTGACTGGTTTGGCTCTGCCATTGATGGGGTGGAGCCAGATCAGGTAGACCTGTGCCTCACTTGCACTTGTGACAAGAACACCTGATTCCAGTCATGAGAGGCGGGCTATTCAGCACATGGATCCTTTGTGTTTTTGTGCATGTGTGTGTGTAGGGGGACATGGCAGGGAGGCTGGTATCTGGAGTAGGCACACTTGGGCTAGGGACAGAAATTACACATAAACCAGTACAAGTGATCAGAAGCCAGTTCAAATCTGTAACACAACAGAAGTTCAGTGTGCACAAACCACTTTCAAAATGGCCAAAACTGGTTTAAGATGAAACTGGATGTATGTAGTACCAGACTTAGCTGATTTAGGTTAATTCAATTTATTGAACTTCTGTCTCAGATAGCTTGATTCTGGAGGGTGTTTGCTCCAGCTGAGTAGGAAGGCATGCTCTAGCAACCCCCAGGCTTCTGGCTGGGGCCACTGACCCCTCCCTCCCCCCAGTCACTACTTCCCTGTGGGGGCAAATACAAGACAAACCTCCAATACTTAGATTCTATAGCTGGAAAATTATAACAATTTATAAAATTTTACATAAATAGAATCTAATTATTTCAGGGTCATCTTAAATTCAGGGTCAACTTAGATTTGAGTTAAATACAGCACTACATTAATTTTATACTACCCACATGAGGTAAGTAGGTATTGTTTAACAAGGTATTATTCTTATTTTACAGATGAGAAACTGTAGTAAGACAAGAATAAGAGCAAAAGTATCCACTAATTTTGGGTCTTCAGTTTGAAACAATTATGACCTGCTTTTCTAGAATATATAGTACTTGATATGGCTTTTACTATATACAAATCATAGTTCCCACTGACTCAGGGTCTTGAGCAGGACATGAAAAAATGAGAAATGGATAATTAGCAATGACCTGCAAAATCTATGTTTAAATAACTTATCCAGGTTCAAATAGAAACTCTATGACAAAGGCAAGGGAATAATTCAATTTTCTAGTGCATCATATGTCTGCTTTTCCCTTTCTGTAGTCTCTTGCCTCATTCACTACACATTTTCCAGTTTCTCCAATAGATTAATCAGGGTCCCAAACAACAGATACTTTCACTATACAACCCTGATTCATCCTCAAAGCACGGTCCAACCTGTACCCTGAAGTGAGTCAGGAATCATGCAGAAAAAAAATACATCATTGTATAAAGTTAATAATAAAGCATATGCAAAAAGAAGCCAAATTAAGGTTGCACAAGCAACTTGAATTCTGGCTTTTTATCATTAAGGTACTTCTGTAACTGTAATAATGTTTATTTTATATAATGTGCACGTGTAATTTCTCAGGATTTTTTTAAAGCAAACTGAAAAAGTTCATCAGGTGGTATCATACTGATACCCAATTGGTTCATCAATAGAGTTGAAATCTTTAGGTTCAGTCATTTGACTTAAAGAATAACAAATAGCAGATGTAGGTATTACCACTTGTGGACCACATTAGAGCAAAAAGTGTTGGTGTAGTTGTGATGAGCCAGGAAGTATGTGAAGCAAGGATTTTTGTGGGTGACATCTTTTATGGAACCAACTGTGTTGTTGAGAAGAACGTAAACAAACTTTAAACGGTAATACATTCTTCTTTGGGTCACCTCTCCAGTCTCCCTGCTCCACTCCCAAACTCCCCTGCTACTCCCAGTCTTTTTGCCCCACAAGCCTATATAGGCAACAGAGCGCAACTGTGAATCAGTCAGAAATGTATGTCCAACATCTTGTCCACCCTTTTCCCCGAGATGCCCACTTCCTGATCTCTCCCTCTCGCATTCCATCCCTGCAAGTCTACACATCTGTCTCTCTTCAAGGCTTCTCCTCTGATCCAAGTGATTTTGCCTGCCATAGCACTTGGTCCCAGTCTTTTTAACCAGCAAGTCCCAGTTTTTCCCACACCTCCCAGTTCCTTATACTCATGCTTGCTTTCCTCTCACCTCTTCTTTCCCAATCCCTCACCCATTTGCTCCTCATCCAAACTTAGTTTTCCACTGCTGCACTGGCTGCTTCTCCTCCACTACCCTTCCTTCTCTCAGACAGTTTTACTGCCTTGCCAGTCTCTGCATCTGCCAACATCTAAACCCAGTCTCAAATTCCAGGCATTTTATCCTTATCTACTTGTCAAGCTCTCTGCCACACTACAGTCTATCTGGTTCCTGTTCCTCTGCATTTGAATTAGACATCACTCTACCATTTCACCAGGCTACTAGCAGAAAGACAGTAAAGGAGAGGTAGCCTCCCTGTTTAGTTTCCCAACTCCCCACTTGCTGAAAGCAACTGTGCACAATGATTATAAGTAAACGTCCAACTTTGTCCCTGTAGGACTAGGCTGGCATTTGTAGAATCTGGTCCGCACTAGGAGCTGTGAAAAGCCTGAGCATGCTCAATAAGGATGTCATCTTAATTTTAGGTTTTAAGCTTTAGCAAAGCACTATTAAGCGTGTGTGAACTGTGATTTTTCACAGGTTTCTAACTTGGCAAAATATTAGCTTTTTTTTTTTTTAAACAGGGAAAGCAACACACACACACACACTCCTGACACAAAGCCTATTCCAAGGCATGAGCTGTCAGGGTGGTTCCGCTTTCTCAAAGGGAGAATGCACAGCCCCACCAGGGGGGACGCCTTGTTGGACCTA